GAGGATGATGAGGATGATGAGGATGATGAGGATGATGGGTGGATTGGAGAGTCTCCTCTTCATTTTGCTCGCTGTACGGAGTATGATTTGAATAATCTGGCCTGATAGAAAAGACCACCCATTCTTACCCGCAGCAATACATGGTCAGGGCTGGTGAGGCTGGCTGACTAATGATACCTTCTACTGTTTACTATGTAGCTAGGTAGTAACTGCACTGACGGGTGGTGCCACCTACAAGGCTGGTGATTTGAGTGTCGCCATCCGGAGCAAGCAGGAACCGGTGGAGACAAGCTGCATCTTCACCCAATAGAAGCCACCAAAAAGTCACCAGCACGGACAATCCAGCACCCATCAATTTCCCAGCGCAGCGGAGGAAGAAACCCGCCAAAGAAAAAATATCCCGCTCAAGCTACTCGTGTTAGTAGTCTTGTCGTGTCTCGTACAAAAGTGTTTGGCGGTGAAGAAGGGTCTCAGGTCTCGCGGTCCACCTTGATCGAGGTTCCTCTTCTGCTATCTCCGATCTACCTCCTCGTCGTCTTTTCTTTGATCTTGTACACATACCCAGCAAGGGCTGTTGGACTGTACACACTCGTTTCACAAAGGCAAAGGCTGTGTGGTGTGGTGACATCTCGCGTTGTCATTGTCAGGAACGCGGTCCTCCCCATTCGTCAAAATCAATCGCCCCCAGCGACCCAAGGATTCGCCATGGATTTAATCGCCAATGGAACGACATTTACCTCCCCCCTCGCGAACGCACAATTGAAGTTGCAGGCCGCCAGTGCGTCAGGCATTGTGGGAAGGATTGTTGCGCAGTGCAATGTTTGGACTGTCCTGTTCACAATTTTGGCCTTACTGGTAACATACGATCAATGTAAGAGATAGGAGCACGTCTGCGCCGAGGACTACCGACTGACTGTGTCGCAGGCAGTTACCAGTACCGCAAATATGGCATCGTTGGTCCGGCGTGGAAAATGCCCTTCATGGGACCTTTCCTCGAGTCCATGCATCCTGAGTTCAACAAGTACAAGACGAAATGGGAGAGTGGCGAGTTGAGCTGTGTTTCGGTCTTTCACAAGTACTTCACAGTCGCGCGCCTGGTGTGGACGTTTTAGCTGACAGTGTGCGCAGATTCGTGGTCATCGCATCTACCCGAGATATGGCACGAAAAGTCTTCAATTCTCCCATGTTCGTCAAGCCAACCGTGGTTGACATTGCTCCCAAACTGCTTCGTCCTACCAACTGGGTCTTCCTCGACGGCAAAGCACACGTCGATTACCGCAAAGGATTGAACGGTCTTTTCACACGTCAGGCTCTGGAGATGTATCTACCGGGTCAAGAGGAGGTCTACAGCAGATATTTCAAGACTTTTGTCAACGAATCAAAAGAGAACGGAATGAAGCCAAAACCGTGGATGCCCATCCTGCGAGAACTCATGACCGCCGTGTCCTGCAGAACTTTTGTCGGTCACTACATGAGCGACCAGGTTGTCAAGAGGATCGCCGAGGATTATTACTTGATCACTGCTTCATTGGAGTTGGTCAACTTTCCCATCATCATCCCATACACCAAAACCTGGTACGGAAGGAAAGCCTGCGACATGGTCATGGACGAATTTGCCAAGTGTGCAGCAAAATGTAAAGTCCGCATGGCCGCTGGTGGTCACGTCACCTGCATCATGGATGCTTGGGTCAAGCAAATGCAAGATTCGGCCAAGTACAGAGAGCGAGTTGAACGAGGCGAAAAAGTCGATGAAGCAGAGAAGCCATCTCAACTGCTTCGAGAGTTTAGCGACATGGAAATCTCCCAGACCGTTTTTACATTGCTGTTTGCTTCTCAAGACGCCACGTCAAGTGCTTGCACCTGGTTGTTCCAAATCATGGCCGATCGACCGGAGATCCTGGACAAGGTTCGGGAAGAGAATCTGAAACTTCGAGGCGGCGATAGAAGCAAGCCCTTTGACATGGACATGTTGGAGTCCATGGTATGGACAAGAGCCGTTGTCAAGGAAACCCTACGGTACCGCCCTCCAGTCATCTTTGTGCCATATGTCGCGAAGAAGGACTTCCCAATGACAGATGGCTACACTCTGAAGAAGGGTTCCATGGTCATTCCGGCTCTGTGGCCGGCAACACATGACCCCGAGGCTTACCCAGATCCCGACAACTTCGTCCCAGAGAGATGGATCACTGGAGATGCCGACAAGCAAGTCAAGAACTGGTTGGTTTTTGGCACTGGACCTCATCACTGCCTGGGTCAGACCTATGCCCAATTGAATCTGATGGCCATGATTGGCAAGGCCAGTATTTTGTTGGATTGGGTGCATGAGCCCACGCCCATCAGTGAGGATATTGAAGTTTTTGCAACGATCTTCCCTCAGGTAAGATTCAGCGACCTCCTGCTTACGATATGATATGCTAACACGACATTCAGGACCATTGTAAATTGACCTTCAGTGAGCGACCATAAAAAAGAAGGTTGGAGTTTTCGTGGGGTTTTTTGCTTGTCGCGTTCCAGCGATAGAATCATGTCCCAAGGCGATCTAATGGCAGTGGTATTGTACATAACGACGTGACTGCCGCCGAGAAGGACAGGATGCTTGCCACCAATCTTGCATGAGACCTCAAGGTCGATGCAGAGAGGATCCTGAGACGAACGAGCTCAGGACCATTGGAAACCCAGTCTTAGGGAATCCATCATCCAAAGATGGGCATGTTCAAGTGTACATAGATCAACCAGCATGGCATTGGGCTTGGATAGCTCATTAATTACGGAGTAGCATTATGAATGATTGGTATCTCATTTCCACTTCCATCGGTATCGCTTCTCGACGTCATTCTGCAGCAGCCGCTACACCTTCTCGGCATGGTGTTGACTCTCCATTTCGGCTAATCTCGAGTCTTGCTGCAGTCGTCAAGCTTCAGTCTTCCTCAGGCATCTTCTAGAGAATTGATAGCGCTCCTTGTTCGCCGACCCTTCCTAATCCCCTCCGAGGTGTGACCGTCTTTTGGGCTCCAATTCATAAGAGCGTGCTCACGACGAACTAAGGCTCAGCCTTGCCGAACCCGTGTCAGCCTCGGCTTGTTGCGACCACTACCCTTTCGGACGATTGACGACAACCTAGCATTACACCACGCCACTCTGCACTGGGGGCTCTGAATTCGGCTGCTTTAGGAGACCTTACTTGATTACTAGTAACTTCCCCTTGGTGGACACGTCGCTTCCTGACCGTATCTTCCAAACACAAAAAGGCGCAGGGGCATTGGCGTAACTCTGAGATAGAAGCACCACTGATGTTGGAGTTCTGACAGGAGCCACCTCTCAACGTGTCACCAGTAATTGGACTTTTGCAAGGGAGACTGTCAACATGGGAACTCCATTCCCACGAGCGTTGACCCGATCGCTTTCTCGCCAATCGGTTTGGAAGAGATCGTTCTCGTCGTCGAGACAGTCACATGCTGACTTTACGCACGCTGTAAGTCTATCGAGAGCCTCTCTGCAGGCATTGTTGGGGAATGCTGTAATGTGCGAAAGCTAACAATAACAACGATGGAAGATCATCGGAGGCGGAGCAGTTGGTCTGGCCATCGCCCGCCAACTCGCAGGGCGGACGGGTACGTCTACTATATTGATAGAGCGGCACGGCGCCGTGGGCACGGAGACGAGTAGTCGGAACTCAGAGGTATATTCTCCCAAGAGCTATCACCGTCCCCAACTTGCTTGACTCGTTTTACTCCCTGTTTCCTATCACCCCGTTATCAAGACATCGAGAAAAGCCTTCGCCCGAAAAGATTGCGACTGTGCACGACCTGCCCTTGAAGGAGCCCGTCCTTCTATGAAAAAGAATGGCGACAACGACAATGACACCCGGATTGGAACGGTGGCTGCCCTGTTTTTGTTTCTGACGTGCCTAGGTCATCCACGCAGGAATATACTACGGGCCCTCTAGTCTCAAAACAAAACTCTGCATCCGCGGCAAACACATGCTGTACGACCTCTGCGAAGCCAAGTCGATCCCGCACTGGCGCACGAAAAAATGGATCATCGCACAAGACGAGCAACAGATGCAGCACCTGCAGGACCTGCACACGTTCAGCAAGTCCATCGACGTGCCCACGCACTTTTTGTCGTCACGGGAGATCCAGGACCGCGAACCCGACGTGCGCGCTGAAGCGGGTGTCCTTGAGTCCCCGACGACCGGCATCATCGACTCCCACGCGTTCATGGCGTACCTTGAAGGCGCCTTCGACGAGCAAGGGGGCGACCAGGTGATGAACACGATCGTCACGGGGATCGAGAGATTGGAAGGAGGCGACGAGGGCAGAGGTGGTGGTTACGCCATCACCACGCGCTCCAAGGACGGTGCCGGCGGCCAAGATACCATCACCGCCGAGGTGGTCATCAACTCGGCGGGTCTGGGCGCCATCGAGATCTCCAACATGCTCATGCCCGCCCAGCGCCAGAGGAAGGCATACTTCGCCAAGGGCACGTATTTCTCGTACGCAAGTGGCCACCCAAAACCCAAGACCTTGCTGTACCCGGCGCCCGTGCCCGGTCTGGGCGGCCTGGGCACGCATCTCACGCTCGACATGGCCGGGCGCGCTCGCTTCGGCCCGGACGTCGAGTGGGTAGACGACCCGACCGATCTGACGCCGAACCCGGCCAGGCTGAAGGATGCCGTCGACGTGATTCGGAGTTACCTGCCCAGCGTCGATGTGGGCGCGATCGATCTGGATTATTGTGGCGTGAGGCCCAAACTCGGACGCACGACTGGCACGTACGGCAAGGACGGCAAGGGGTTTGCGGACTTTTATATCAAGGAGGAGGACGGGTTTCCCGGGTTCGTGAATCTACTGGGCATTGAGAGTCCCGGGTTGACGAGCAGCCTTGCCATTGCCGAGCTCGTCGAGGACATGTTGTACGGCGAGAATGCGAAGGTATAGGCCGAGGGAGGAGCCCGACAAGAGGAGGAGACAATTGATGTGATGTAAAGCGTTGGCACTGATCATGGCCGCCGCCTCTTTGAGAATAACATGCAGATGTGACGTGACGATGAAGTGGGCATAGACTCGTATTGATACAAGGAGTGGATTATGTACAGTCTAGTTGATCTGTCTATATATTTCCTCCTAACGCGGAGTCCGTCACAGACACCATTCATTCATGTCCACACGTGGCTTACAGGTCTCATTTCTCATCCGCTTGACGCCTTGAGCATCTCGTCCACGCTGCCGAACTTCTCTCTAGGCTTTCCATGGGCTGCTCCAACAGTCTTCTCCGCTTGGTCGATGTTCTGCCAGTTCGACCAATGGACAGGCCGGAGCGGAAGTTTGAGCGCTTGAGCCTCTGCCTGTACGCCTTTCCAACCTGCACGGCTGGTTCGAGGGGGGATGTGATCCGACCCAAACATCTTCCTCCAGTCTTGGACAATAGCTTCGGCAGTCTCGAATGCATCAGTCATTGTGCTTGCAATGACGCCGGTAGGGCCACGCTTCACCCAGCCAGAACAGTACAAACTAGCCCTGTCATCGGCGTTGTCGGTTTGGCTTTCTAGGGATACCACTCGTCCGAAACCGTCGTGTCGGACGGTTCCTTTATGCTCGTCAAATTCGGCGCCTATTTCCTGCATGCCGGGAATGGCGACTGCCTTGTAACCTATGGATCGGAAAAGGGTCGAGGTAGGGATAAGCTGCGTTTCATCGGTACTTGTTACTTTCGAATCTGGTGAGTCAGCTTCAGCGAGTTTCGTCTTGGAAAAGACCACTCCTTCGAGCTTGTCAGGATCAGAGGCAGACCAGATCAGGGATCTCGGGGCGAGCAGAAAATCCAGGGACCATGACTTGTTTGCACTTGATTTGACAGGGCTGCCCTTCTTCAAGAGTTCCATCAGGCGTCGCTTGGGACGGGGTAAGCTCTTCAGATCGCTGGGGAAAAGCTCCTCCGGAACAGGCGCAAAGTTGACATCTTCCAAATGTAGCAACTCCCGGACTTCTTTGATCGTGAATGCTGCTTGCATCGGACCTCGTCGCCCAACCACGTGGACGTGCTTGATTGTGCTCCGCGACAGCGCTTCGACGGCATACTCTGTGATATCTGTCTTCTTCAGCAGGTCAAGCTTGCTCAACAGCGTCCTAGCCACGTCCAAGGCGACGTTCCCCTGACCAACCACGATCGCTGTTTCTCCAGCTGTCAAATCTGGATTGAAGTTGCGGTACTCAGGCAGCCCGTTGTACCAACCAACAAAAGCTCGTGCAGAGTATATATGTGGTTTATCCTCTCCTTCTAGACCTATCTTCCGGTCTTTTGATGCTCCGTATGCGAAGACGATGGCGTCGTAGTGCTTTGCAAGCAAGGGAAGAGGAAGATCGTGCCCGAGGTTGACGTTTCCGATGAAAGTGTAGTCGGGTGATGCGGCGACGTCCTGGAAGGTTTCCTCGACATTCTGGTAACTGTCAGCCCCGAGTCGAATCTCCAACATGCTTCACCGACCTTTACCTCCGGATGGTCTGGTGCTACACCAAATCTAACCAGGCCGAATGGTACAGGCAATTGCTCGTACATGTCGACTTTGGTTCCTCTGATTTCCCGCATGACCTTTTGCGCAGTATAAAACCCTGCTGGTCCAGAGCCAATTATGGCCACAGTAGGGCCTGGTCCTCCATACTCGTTCGCTGCATGACGAGAGTACCTTGCAGCTACCGTGTGAAAGGGTTTGTGAGTGGTGAAGCGTGCAATCTGCGGCGCGATGGAGCTAGCGGAGATTCTTATCCGCAGACAACAAGTATTCAGCATTGCCATAGGTTATCAACACCCGCCATCGCACCTCCTCTAATGCTTGAAGAAAGCTGAACTGGGGGAGGCTGAAATTGAGAATGCTACTGAAGGAGTCAATCAATTCCATGAGAGGGATTCAGTCAGGCGTCGGAAATAAATCTCAGGGTCTTTCCGTTATCGATAACGCAGCCGCGGCACCGAGCATCGGGCGCACCAAACACCAAAGGCCTTCACCTTCAACTATCTCCCAGAATGACATTCTTTCTTCAACATCCTTCAACTACGGAATACAACGACTCGATGTCACAGGTATCAAGCACCAGAGACACCTGTCCATCATGATATATCGGTGAGAGAGAGGAGTCACTGACGCCATCGGTAGTCGGAAGTATTTGGCTGGCTCATGCTCGATGCTGCACATGTTTTGGTCTGGGTATCCATATGAGTAAGCCACTACGAATGCTCCGTACTAATTTCTACCATAGTATCTTTCGAGTCGAGCTGTGCGGAGAATACAATACGACCCGAAAAGGGTTATTGCAGACAGCAGATTCAAAACCAACGTCGACGTTCCTCGAGAGTAACAATTTCATCTGGACAAGGACATGGTGCTTCCAGTGTCTCGGACCGTCTGTGAGCTGTCTGTGGGGTGTAACGGCAGCCCCCAGTGATATTCAAGCACCATCAACGACAAGAAATTTGGCGCGATATGAAACCGCCACAAGGTAACTGGCCCCCATCTCGCGCCTTGTCACGAACCTCATGGCCTTACCCATTGGCCAAACTGAAGGCTAGTGAGGCTTAACATCTCAAGCACTAAATGCCCCCAGGCTTGATCAAGCAGGTCGGATTACCTTCATGCTTTGCTTCTTCTCTCATTATGCTCACTAGCAGCGTCAAGTCTTCAAGTTGGATATACACAGGGTTTCTGCCTCTGAGAAGTGGCCTCGAAAGGAGACAAAGAATTACTCGCCCTGGCTGCCTCCTCAGCGATCAGTTCGATACTCGACCCTTTGTCTTGCAGAAGTCGCCAGGCTAACTCATCTCCCACTTTCCCTGCTCCAGCTGGTCGATCCCAGGTCCCAGACCGTTGTCGTGCAATCACTCTACTCTTTAGCTCCTTGGCTCAGAGAACGTATTCGCTTTCGATCTCGTCCAGTGACATGGGCTCAGTAACATGGCCTTGCCAGCACCTTACCAGTTCAAACTAAATATACTCCTTCAGTTCCCCTTGCTCCTTTCCCCAACCCAATTTCTGCATGAGCAAATGCGCTGGACGCCATGGAGATCAGTGTAGGTCTCGCTGCCGGCTTGATTGCCATCGCAGTTGCTGTGCTTCAAGTTCTTGTTCCCAATACTCTCACAGTCCTTCTTGTCTCGACCCTATCCAACGAACACAATGCTGTAACATGGTCGGCCATTGCGCACTCATTGTCGAACTCCCTATGGCCCTCACTCCTGAGATCCGATATGGCGACATCTCAAGGCATACCCAGAAGAATCAACCTTGTCACATGGCTGCGACCACTCAGTCTTGCTTTAATTGCCGCAGCGGCCTTCGTTACCCCGATCGGTCTCTATGAAGCGCTAGTACTATCAGACTCCCAGGAAGTGGTAACCTTTTCAGATATTGTCGATTCAGGAACAATTGGGTTCGGGACACCACCCAGGTCTGAGCTTGGCTTCTCGCGACAGTGTTGGGGAATAAAGCCATTGCAATGTCCTGGTACCGAAAACGTCCTTACGGACAACTCTGATGCCAACGGCATCAATGTCACAATCTCGGACGATGGCTACGACAGAAGAATCCCCAAAGTCCTCGCGCAACTCTACCAAAGCGGTCTACAACAGCAATCCCGCAGTATGTCAAGCTACTTTGACATCCAGGCGCGACAGTATCAATTCCAGAATCAATATAGCCCCAATAATGACTCCTTCCTGGTCGACAGCTTTCGCCCGATGGGTTCGATGATACTCGACGACTCCGTCTCTTTGGTTGACGGATTGATTGTCGACATGCACCAAGGAGGTGTCGGCTTTCGGAAACATACAGTTCCAGCAGGATTACACTATGGTGCTGAGTGGGACGAAGATATTCTCTTCATCAAGCCCGAGACAGTCTGCGTTGACATGAACATGACAATCGAGGTCCAGATCCCAGAGATCGTCAATAGCTACAACGGCTCTGCCCCTAGCGCCTACCTTGTCGACCAAGGCGGATGGGCCAAGATGAATATCACCAATCCCTATCTAGATCCATGGTTCGAAGACATGCAGACAGCCTTGCTTAACGACGGCAACCCTAGCTTACAGGGAAGAGCCTATAGGGCAGGTTGGTGGACCAACGTGCAAAACATGTACTTCTTCAATATATCCAAACCTAACACCAACAGAACTGCGTACCTGAATTCACGAGTCGGACAACGCTTTCCCATCAACACCACCTACGGTGTCTCCACCAAGGATGAGCTCCTGTTCACGAGCTTCGCCAGCCTCTTCACCGGCATTCCTAGCGGCTTCGATTGGGGCAATGGCACGCTGGAAGTGTACAACACCTCGTTCGGCCCCCAGTACTGGAGTAACCCGTGGAACATCACAAGCGAGAACTACACGGACATCGGCACTCTTTGCACCGGCGCCCTGACCGGGGACTTGGCCAACATGACGAACCTAGACGTGAAGTGCTCTCTTATGCTCGGCCCATCACGACGCCTGGACGGGACACAAAGCACTGTCTTCTCCCCAGGGTCATGGTGGACCCGCCAAATATACTCATGCGCCAGCGCGTCCAAGGCCTCCATCAAGTCCGTCCATTTCAAATACAACGCCACAACAAATGAAGGGCTCGGCAGTCTCAACGTCACGAACCTCACGCAGAAAGTCTACGCAAATAAATCGGCCATGCCGCTCTGGGGGGTCGAGACTCCAAATATGACACTCAACGGCCTCGGCCCGTTCTGGGGACTGATCTCCCCCGATCAGCAGGACAGCGTGAACCTGTCGACCATCCGCGCGGAGAAGTTGTATATCCCCGCCAGTAGTAATACCGTCTGGGGCAGCGCGTTGTCTGATCTCGGAGGCACCGACTTCAACCCCGGCACCAACGGACCCCCACAGATTTGGAATACCATATACTCGACACTGAGCGGCGGGTTCGATTACACGGGCTCGAGTAATCTTGCGCTCCTGCAGAAGTGGCAGAAGATGTGGACCAATACGACCGGTGCGGCGCAGATCATCAATCTGATCTTCACGGATTATGCGGCGAATTATTTTGTGGGGACGAGGAGTCAACTCACGCCTAGGGATTATCTGCCTCCGAATCTGATGCAGAACGGGAATGGCAAAGTTAAGCGGGACAGGGACACAGTCTCGAGCGAAGCAGGCCAGGTGCCCGTTCAAGTCTACCAGCGGCGTATACGGTATCATTATGTCTATGGCATACCGGCTGCGATAACTCTGGTCCTCTTCGTGCTCGTTCTCGTGGCGGCGTGCTTGTCCATGCTGCTGGGCCGTGGGAGCGTCGGCCGCATTCGGCATTATGTGTACGGTCTCTCGGCGGGGAGGTTGCTCGGTGCATTCCTGTACCCTGAAGAGGGGGATCCACGCGCGGATACGAAGGTCTGGATTGAAAAAGTTGGTATGCGGAGTGTGAGACTGCCGGATCCGCATGGCACCGGGGTGATGATGAGCGAGGTGCAGAAGCCCAAGCCAATTGTGGATAGTGGAGGTTATGCTTTGATCGAGCAGGACCAGAAGGTGTCGACGACTGTTGCTATGACACCACGACTGTCGGAGGGAGAAGAGGCAGGTTCGGACAGGGCGAGGATAGATAGAGCCTAATCGGCCAAGCTATGAGTTCTGGTGTGCACACGAGATAGTTGTCGGAGAGAGTGGATGGTCACCTTCCGAGATTCTCAAAATGGCTGAGCGAGGGGAAGTACCCCATCAGAGTCAAGACGCATCCTACGGTGGCGGTGATGCTCGTTGCGATACGGATGTTTCTGATGCTGACCGTGCGTACACGATCAAGCATTCGTTCCGGCAAAGCCATGCGTAGGAACCCGATGGTGAGGTTCGACCATCCCACCAGGGTGACGAGGACTCGCCAGTCTCGCCGCCAGAGGTTGTGGTGCTGGAGGATGGTCAGGCCCGATATGAAAAGGATGGAGCCGTTGAGGAAGATGAGCGGCGGCGTGCTGGTGGTCCATATATGCGCATTTAGAGATTCTGTAAGCGAGACGGCCATAAGGCTGGGGCCGATCAAGCGGGCGAAGCGGTGGGAGGGGGGATAGTACGGCATTGATGGTGGTTCAGCTGGTTGAGCTCTCACTGCGATCCGTAGCCTCAGGTGAAGGGAGGAAGAAACACAGTCAACGAAGATGTCCAGTATGAAGAACGTTGCACCGTCTCGCGCAAAGCCGGTGTCTATCCGGATGGAGAGACAAGTCGATATCACCTGATGTCTGGGGGCTTGCCTGGTTTCTGGTCTCTGGTCTTGGGACTCCTAGCGTACCTGGCGGCAAGTGCCGGTCACGATGCAGACCAAGAGTGTAAGATGCATTCAAAGTCAAGCTCAAGAAGGGCAACAGATGATACTAGTACCCGCGTTACCTCACGAAAATGGATGGAATGCCTCGCGCGATATTGCCAGATGTATCGATGTATGTAAATTTCAGGTAAATGAAAGTGCTCGTCGCGTAAAATTGCCTGATGTAATCGAAAGGACGGCGAGACCAGCAGAAGCCACTCCCACATTGATGCCTGGTTGCTGTAGTTTGTCACTCGCGCCCTGACCAAGGACTCAGCAGTGCGAGAGAATTCATGCATGGACGATGAATGATCAAGCGAGAAAGGCAGCTTGCGAAACCCCCGTTACAAACAAGGCTGGCCTTTACTCTTACCGGCACGAAAAGGGTATCTCGGTATGTATGAGTAGTACTCCGTACCTACTACCTACTCCTACTTCTTACTGTGTAAAGGTGCGGAGTAACTAGCGTACGCTTTTGTCCCGCAGCATGCGGCCGGCGGCCGCCACAGAAGGCGTTAACAACGAGCTCGTACCAGAGCAAGTCCGAAAACACCGGGAGGAGGCCATGGCGGTAAGTGGAGAGAACTGCAGGGTTGTCGAGGGGGGAACCAGTTAAAGACGCCTGGCAGAGTCGGTGACATCAGTCTCTTCTTCTTAAACTCCGAGAAAAGACAGCAAGAGGAAGGCCATGGAAGTATGCATTGGCGCGTGTTTGACTTCATGATGATAGTCGTAGTTCGTACCCAGCACCTGCCCAGCACATTGCGGATGGTGCAGATTTTTAATCAAGACAAGATCCACCATTCTCTCCATTATTATATAGACCAGTCTGTGTGCCATTTCCTCAGACCTAGACAGTAGACACATCAACCACAACCACAACCACAACCACAACCACAACCACAACCACAACCATAACACACAATTTACAAACATGGCACCACCACAACTCCCCACCCGCAAATTGGGCAAGAATGGCCCTGAAGTCACAGCCCTGGGCTTCGGCACAATGGGCCTCAGTGCATTCTATGGCGCCCCTAAGCCAGATGAAGAGCGCTACGCTCTGCTCGACCACGTTTACAACTCAGGCGAACTGTTTTGGGACACTGCCGACATGTACGCCGATAGCGAGGACTTACTAGGCCGTTGGTTCAAGCGCAACCCTGGCAAGCGCGAGAACATCTTCCTCGCGACCAAGTTCGCCAACTACGTCAACCCAGATACCGGCGCCAGGGAGGTGCGAAACGAGCCAGAATACATCCGCCAGGCGTGCGACAAGTCCCTGAAACGGCTCGGCGTCGACCACATCGATCTGTACTACGTGCATCGTCTGGACGCGAAACAGCCCATCGAAATCACCATTCGCGCAATGAAGGAGCTGAAGGATGCCGGCAAGGTCAAGTATCTGGGCATGAGTGAGTGTTCTGCAGATTCGCTGAGGAGGGCGTGTAAGGTGAGTGATGAATCCCCAACCGCGGAAAGGATCCTGGCAGGATCGGCTGATTTGTTTTTGGCTAGGTAACACACATCGACGCCGTCCAGATGGAATACAGCCCATTCTCAATGGAGATTGAAGACCCGCAGTACAACTTGCTTAACACGGCTCGTGAGCTGGGTGTTGCGGTCGTCGCATATTCGCCTCTTGGGCGAGGGTTCTTGACCGGCTCGATCAGAAGTCGCAAAGATTTCGAGGAAGGTGACTTCCGAACGTTCGCTCCCCGATTCAGCGAGGAGAACTTCCCCAAGAATTTGAAGTTGGTCGATGAGATCAAGGCCGTGGCTGATTCCAAGGGATGCACGGCTGGACAGCTCGTTCTGGCATTCCTGATGGCTCAAGGCGATGATATTATTCCCATTCCAGGAACGACGAAGGTGAAGAACTTTGACGAGAATATGGGTGCATTGAAGGTCAAGATCACCAAGGAGGACAATGAGAAGATCAGAAAGGCAATCAGTGGGGCCCAGGTTCATGGTGGAAGGTATCCAGATGAGTTCGCAAAGGCTTGTTTTGTTGATACTGTGCCCTTGAAGGAGTGATTCCACCCCGAAATGGCATCGAATAAGTGGACGCCCGCGAAGTGAAATGCAGTGGGCATGAGAAGAGATGAGACAGTTCTTCATACATACTATCAAAGTTGAGATTCGAGAGGTTATCCATCTGGTCCAACCAGCCATATCAATACATCATGTGGTATCACTTTCCGGTCCTTTTGAGGATTTTCGCCAAATGCCAGACGCCAGACGCCAAACAGCAGAGTCGTGATATTCCTCTGTACAAGCCCAGCGAATGCTTTCAACCCTCATTCTTCTAGGTTCTTCATCCTGGGCACCTGCCACTTCCTGGGCGGACCAAGATCTTGAGTTCTAAGTTGCGGTGCTCGCGGCTGATTGCGTAAGAACAGATGATAATTTGCCTTGACTCGGCTCATCGCTTTGCGGGTTTGAATGGCTTGATGGTCGAGGACAATACTGTTGTAGGCGAAGCTGAACTTGGCGCCGCGAGGCATGTTGAGGGATTGATGTGAGGTAGACTTCGCGTTCGAGGCAGTGCTTTGGGAATAAGGGGACTGATTGAGCCGATATCTACCGCCAGCGGTGATTCCAAGTGATTCCAAGTATGTCAGACGTGTTTTACAGGTAGAGTGATCGAGGCTGTTGATCTCACTCAAGTCCGATGCGGAGAGTCGCAGCCTCGCCGCACTTTCCCTTTTCGAACCCAACCGCCATAATGGACTTGGACACAGTTGTCGACGACTTCCTCCAACTGGCAATAGCACTCACCCATCCAGGAATCTGTGTGAGTGTACGTCGACCCGGGAGCAGCATAGCCGTTCAGCCAACGTGCTCAGTTCCCCCAAGATGGACCCTTTCTCCGGCGAGGGTGGTGCGTCTCACATCCTCCTCCCTGCTTTCCCATCCACACTAATGTTCCCTAGAACTCCTCAACATCACAACCGCCTTTTACACACACGCCTACTCCACCGTCATAGATTTCGATACATCCTCTCTCTCCCCATCTAACCAGTCCACCGCCCAAAACCTCAAGTACCGCGCACAAATCGCCCTCGGCCAGTCCTCCAGCGTCGTATCTGCCCTCAAATCCTCTTCTTCATCCTCTTCCCGCGCGCTTGTCGCTCTGGCACAATTCGACGTCAGTGCCGCCGCAGAGCTCGCCTCCGACGCTTCCTCCGCCGAAGATCCCACCGTGCAGATCTGCGCAGGTACCGTGCTCGCCTCGGCGGGCCAGTATCCTGAGGCAGTCGACCTCCTTTCTAAGCACCAGGGCAGTCTCGAGGCCGTTGCGCTCCTCGTGCAAGTCCACCTATCTCAAAACCGGACAGACTTGGCTGTAAAGGAGGTCCACGCCGCCAAACGCTGGGCCAACGATTCCCTCCTGATTAACCTGGCGGAGAGCTGGACGAACCTGCGCGAGGGTGGAAGCGAGAAGTACCAGTCTGCATTCTACGTTTACGAAGAGCTAGCGAGTGCGCCGGGCAACACGAGTCCCACGGCGCTTGTCGGCCAGGCTGTCGCGGAAATACATCTGGGCAGGGTCGAGGAGGCAGAGGCCGCGCTGCAGCAGGCTATGGGCATGGAGGGGGCCGATGTGCAGGCTATTGCGAACAGTGTGGTGCTGGCAAGTGTGATGGGAAAGAAGAATGAGGTTGTGCAAGGGTTGATTGAGCAACTAAAAGAGAAGGATAGGGAACATGTGTTATTGAAGGATCTCGAGGAAAAGAGTGCACTGTTTGATACGGCGGCGGGAAAGTACAGCGCTAAAGCTGCGGCTTGAGATTGCTAGAGCTGCTTGAGGTGGTGCTCCGCTGAGCCCTTGGCGGCCCTTCTGAGTCTGAGGGAATGAGCAGAAGGGCCTCCTCCATCGACCATGGAGGATGACAGCTACTAGGTCTGCGATTCGTCTTCAAGTGGCTTAATGCCGGCTGGGTCGTAGTGAGGCTGTTGGCTTGCGAAGATGGACTGGCGCTCGCTGAAGCGATGGCCCCAAGGAGGCAATTGCCTATGAGAGTCCTAAGTTCTGTGGATGATGTGCTGCAAATGCTATACATTTGCAACTAAGACACAACAAGACCGAAGATAGACGATGAAAGGAAGATTCGATGAAACTTGTGCCCTTCCATTCTCAGGGGAGATTCGCCCCGCGTCACTGGCAAGGCTGCGCGAGGCTGAGAAGATGGTGAATTCCAGCCAATCTGGCGAAGCTCATGACTCGCACTCTTGCTCTTTTGGAATTTTCACAAATCAGCCCGATTCCAGCCCAATCAACAGCCTAGCGAGCAGAATGCAAAATGATCTGAATCCCTCTAATACCTCGTTGTCGCCCGTTGGCAACAGCCATGCCTTACCTTCGTCGCCGATTCAAGCAGGCCGAAAGAGAAAAGCTCCCTCCGGTTCTCGAGGCGTCGCCAGCCTCACCCCGGATCAGCTTGCGAAAAAGAGAGCCAATGACCGCGAAGCTCAGCGCGCCATAAGAGAGCGGACGAAGCAGCAGATTGAGAGTCTCGAGCGCAGGATAGAAGAACTGACTTCACAACAACCATATCAAGAGCTGCAGGCGGTCATCAAACAGAAAGATGCCATTCAAGCAGAGAACGATGAGATTCGCAGAAGACTAGCCTCGGTCATGAGCATCATTCAACCCATTGTCGGAGCTCAGGGTTTGACAGGTATTGTCAGTACTAGAATTGATGACATGTCGGTGTTTAACCCTGTTAGATCTCGCAACAGCTGCGCAGCACAATGTCCAGACAGCGATCGGCCAGCAACCCAACGCTTTCCATCCCAGCAACCTCCCACCTTCCGATCCCTACCTTAACGGCGAGCAAAATGGTCGCGAATTCTCAACGCCACCAAATGTCCCTCACAACCAGATGGACAGCTCGGCGTATCCTTCACCGTTTCCACAGGAAGAGCAGAATGAGGGCAACAGGACCTGGCCTGCGTCAAGAGATGCACTCAACCAGCAACGGGACAATCTCCAGCGTAGCCTGGAGCTCAACGATTCTGGCGAACGTTTGAACTTCAACTTCCTCCTCGACAGCCTCGGCCAGCGCACTGCTAATCCACTTCAACAACAAACAACCTCACCTTTGCGCCGCTCTTCTGCCTACCCGGCAATCGCACCCAGCCTCAGCGACCAGCAATTTCAGAACCCCTGGACCGCTCTGCCGAAGAACGTCCCGCCGACCTGTCCTCTCGATGGCCTTTTACTGAACTTTCTCCACTCGCGCCAGCGCGAGAACACCAACCCCGACAACCTCCTCAACCCAGCATATCCCTCCGTCTCCTCCCTGCTCAATCCCTCTGGCGACCACCGCCTTGACCCGCTCTCCCAACTCATGACCGACATCATCTCCAAGTTCCCAAACATATCCGAACTGCCCGAACAAGCTGCAACGCTCTTCGTCATGTTCGTGCTCATGCGCTGGGAAATCAACCCAACACAGGAAAACTACGAGCACATCCCAGAATTCTTCCGGCCAACGCCTGCACAGGTGTTCACTCCGCATCCGGCGTGGGTGGACCACGTCCCCTGGCCGCGCATGCGGGATAGACTGGTTGCGAGTTACCACGAGTACCCGTTTGAGAACTGGTTTATACCTTTCACAAGCGATTTGAGCGTCAATTGGCCGTATGACGCTGTTGATTGTCTGCTGGCGACGTCGGAAAAGGCCGAGCCTGTGATGAACCCGGTGTTTGAGCGCCATATTCGCCGGCTTGAGAACTGGTCGGTCGGGCCCGGGTTTGCAGAGGCGTTTCCCGGACTGGTGGAAACGACGAGGATTCAGAAGCGGACGGTGAAGAAGACTGGGACGGCGGCGGGGACGGCGACCTCGTGAGCAACGGAAGGGTGTCACAGAGGGTTCTTATGGCGTGGACAGGAAATTGTACAAGGTGGTTAGGCGGATGCTTGATATGAATAGGGGGGATTCGCTTCTCACGAAATTGATACCCATGGACGTGGAAGAAGCGAGCCTGGCGCCGATTGTAATATCGAACGATACTCAAATGGAGAGGCGTGTTGAATTAGGAGAGGAGACTGATTTTGAATGTTACTGATGCTGATACTTGTTTGTCTGCGACTAAAGCTATTGCTAACGCTAATGCTAAGAATGGATCAAGGGCCAGCTCGTCCAGCTTGGTATTGCATAACTTCAGCCTTTTGTGTCTCGATGAACTTGAACTTTTCTCCGATCTCAAACCCCGTAGCCACTGTTTGTCGGGTTGTCGCACTTTTTGCACCATGATGGTCTCAACTAACTCCAGGGGTGCGTTCTTCTTCGATACTCTTCGTGGATGACTCGGCTAGTAGGAACCCATCATGCGGCTGTCCGGAGCATGACTCTCTCTCTCTCTCTCACACACACAAACACGCACATAATGAAGGTCTTCCCCTGCAATCGTCTGTCGCATAACCCTCTCCCCGCCTTCTGTCTCAATGATGGTCTTCTCTCCCCGCATTCTGTCTCAATGATGGTCTTCTCTCCCCGCATTCTGTCTCAATGATGGTCTTCTCTCCCCCTGCAATCGTCTCTCTAGATCCCCCAAAGAAACGATAGGATCATGCCACCATATCTGCCTTAGCTGCTCAGCCAGTGCTCAGATCGAGTGCCCTCATGTTTGACGCCAACAACTTCTGGGTACGAGTGGTAAGCTCGCTCACAGACCTTGGCAACACGCTCCTTGTAGAAGACCTCGTGCGCAGCATCTTCCATGCCGAAATACGCGTCGTCAACGAGACCACAAGCTTTCAACTCCTCGCAAATCATATCGATATCGACATTGATGTCATTGTTATCGTCAGCGCCTTGCTCCACCTCATCATCGTGATGGAGGATTGCTCTAGCATCGCTCGTCTTGTATCCTGACGCGGTATCCTGTGGGACTGGAATGTGCTTGCCTTGGTGTTCGGCCAGATGTTTGTTGCGCTCGCGATCCAGGAGTCTGCCATTGAGCTTCAGGAACTTGTAGAGCTCGTTTCGTTGAGGAGGGGATAGATTGCTGCCGAATTCGTACCCGACGAAGCCCAAGTCGTTGTTGAACGGGATGAAGTCCATACGGCCCAAGTCACCATGGAGAGTGAGAGGTTTGTTTGGTTGTTCTTGAATGAGGTTACAGCAATGCCAGTTAAGGAGCTTTGTGTACGGGTGGTGGCCCTTTCTGAAGAGTTGATCCGAAATATAGAGTCGTTCGACAGAAGCCGGGACTGCATCGATGAATTCCTGACCGATCCATTCAGACTCGGAATGGATGTGCATTTCGAGGAGTTTGAGACAGCCCATTTGAGGTAGGTACAACTTGAAAGCGCCAATGAAGGAGCCGAAGTGAGCGAGCTCATGGATGCCGCCGTGGACGCAGATTCTAAGCTCTCGGAGGTGGAGGGCTTTGGATGCCAATTTCTGGAGGATCAGGCTTGCCTCGTGTAGGAAGTTCACTCCTCTTAGGCCTGTCGTCTGGAAGTAGCTGTCTGGAACGGTATAGGTGAACTTCTCCAGTGTGTCGGCCACTTTGTCCACGATGCCGAACGCGGTGATTGTGCCGTTGGCAGTGAGGTCCAATTCCTTTAGAGCAGGGGCAGGCTCCTTCAGGGGGAATGCGAGGACTCCGATGCTTGTTCGGTATTCGCCATGGAGAATCGATCGTGGATCCGCACCCACCCGTAGATGTTGGAGACGTGGTTTGTTTTTGAGAACTTGTGCTGCCGTAACTGGGATGTTGAAATTATCGAGGACGAGAACTTTAAGCTTGGAAAGCCACTGAAGACTGTTGAGGACAACGATGCGGCGCTGCCATCCTTGACCTTCGATCGTGAGTTTCGGGTCATCGCTCACAGATAAGGAGGTATTGTGCTTTCCACAGTTGTGTTTCACCGAGCTGGTATGTGTGCCGAGGTCGTCTGGTCCAACACCAAAGATTTTGAGTTCTTCGAGGCCTGTGAGGTCACAGCGTAGGAGCCTCGCTAAGCGCTGCAAGAAGTCCGGTGGGCTATTGTGGGGCAACTCTATCGTAAGGCTACGAAGTCGAGGAAGAGCTGGAGTGTTGTAGGCAGTCCATTCCAAGAAGTGTCCCAGTTGATTGTGATGTACAATTCGCGTCGATGGTGTCCAGTCGCTGATGGTTTGAGTTTCGTAAAAGAGTTGTTTACAGACAAGCGGCAACGCCTCGTAGCCAGTGACTGGATGCGCTCCGAGAGGCTCTCGAGGACGGTGGCCAATCTCAACATCCACAAGATTCAAGATATGATCACGAAGCTCCTGTGCAACTCCGAGAAAGTGGTTTGGAGGATAAGATGTTGTGCATGAAGAGACCATTGCAGGGATTGGATGAAACATAGGAAGACGCTGTGGTCCTGTGCTGATGGTCAGATCGAAACATACATAGTGATATCAGTGCTGCCTACCTGTGAAGCCCGGCATCTTGACGATGGTGATTGTAGTGTGATTGCTTGCTGTCCAGCAGACCAGGAATCGAAGCAGGTTGATGAAGTATTGCTTGAGATGCGAATAAAGAGTAAATGACAAGGTGGAAAGATGCAGAGATTGAGAAAGCAGGAAGTGGGAGAGTAAAGGGAGAAGAAAGAGGTGTAAATCTCTGATGGGTCAAAACCTTTCGAAGCAAAAAATCAAGAAATTTTCTAGAAGGTATTGAGCCAGAGTCGCTCAATGAACAGGTCGAAGACAATAGGATCTGAGTAGATCTATTCAGAGTGGAGAGGTACATCCCATTGTCTTCTGAATGAATAAGGACCCGCAGTGACAGCAATTGGATCAAACGGGACGTGGCTCGCCATGTAGCCTGGACAATGCGCGGCTGGGGTTTGCCATCCCCGTCGGAGTCAAGCATGCTGAGCCAGCAATAGAAATGCCAGTGACAACCGAGAGAGCCGCATCTTTTCCGGTGATTACCGCTGCAGTCAGCATGTGAGCGAGCATCGGAGTAACTTCACAGGCAGGGTGCATAACAGCAATAAGAGCAAGCTGAGGCAGTCGAGCCAGTCGGTCTAGGCTGCGTCGCGGTGATCATGGCCAGGACCGAACTCCCGACAAGAGGGTCAACAACGGACAAAGGCAATCTCAGACTGAGCAGAGAGACCCATTCCCCTGTCTGTCTGCCGCAAGAAGGTCCTACATTGAGAGATGATGAGAATTGTAGATGCTCCGAGACAACTGGAACATGTCGTCTCTTTGAGGCGAGTTGATGATGAAACGCTAGCCGCATTCGCATAATTAAGCACGCCGCCTTAACTATTTCATACGGTAGGTGCTGGAGGTTGGAATATCTGCTCACGCCCCACCTTTGTTTTGGAACAAGCCTCCTCCGTTGCGAGAGCGCTCGCAGTCCCCTTTTCGACGCTTCACTCCCTTCCTCTGTCGGTCGAAGAGTTCCGCACGTCCACCAAATCGTCGACTCTGCGCCTCCACGGGCATGACTCTTCTTCCTCTACCGCGCCGTCCTTTCGAGAACCTGGCACTTGATGTCCTAGACAGGATCTTGGGATGTGTTTTCCCACACAAGGGAGCTAGCATAATCGTTTAGAGGGTCCAATCTTCACCTCCTATCCCATACCTTCAAGGTTGCGGGCAAATTGGGACGAATATGGTTAATCCTTCACGAACAAGTTTTTCTGGACTAGATGCTTCTGAAGGTGGGCAGACGCGGGAATGGTGGAGATTTCGACAGCCATTCAGTTGGGCAACGCGGCAACCCCCGAGCGAGCTTGGAAGGAGGGTCAGCATTACAGACGCAAGCTCCTTGACACAGCCTCCAGTTTTCTCGATCACTGCACCCTTGGAGGAGCATACCGGCGGAATCAAAAAGTTCTCAAAGTCGGCTTTCTTCCGAGCACTCTGCGACGAAGAATTGCTGGAGGCAAGAAAACCCAATGTGTATTTCCTGCCCTCCTCAATGTCTACATGAGGACTACATCCATATTGCAGCATTCACAGCGTCACTCGATGCCCGTCACGGGCATGTTCCGGCCTCGCTTCTCATTTGGACGCACCGATCAGTCCATCTGTACGGACCTCTATGCCATTGTTATTGACGACATCCCACCACTTGTCCCACAGTCCGTTTGTGACGAGAGTGGTTTCATCCATTGCACTCTGGCTCTGCAGGTACTCACAGACGGCATTGTCAGCATCTCCTTCCGGGTCATAGTAGAGGATGCCAGGGACACTGGACGGATTGCAGAACATCTGCCATGAACGGTAAGTGGTCGGCAGCATTTGGATGGGGCGGATGATGTTTCGATCCCATGCTTTGACTTCTGGGGCAGATGCTTGATTTCTTCGTACTGCTTTCTCCCCAGTGGCCATATTTATGGTTCCGCTTACGAATGATGCTTGTTGTTTGGTCCAGACGCGAGGCATCCGCCGCTTCTCGTACAGCTCGATTGCCTCGGGGAGGGTGATGGTGTCACGTACCACCTCCCCAATGACGCCGCCGAGGAAGGCTCCGTCTTCCATGGCTGTAGCCGCTCCTTGTGCCTGGTTGTTATCAAGTAAGCCATCTTGCATCTCTCCCTAGCGACGACCGGTGAGGACCTACCATGTGGTTCTGCATGCAGTGAGCAGCATCCCCGAGAAGTACCACATTCTTGTGCTCATTCGACCAAGTCTTCATTGGGGGCAGCACGAGCAACGGCCACTTCTGGGTATAGTTGACCAGCTCCAAGATTTTGCGCGCGATAGGATTCCAGTCCTTGTACAGGTGCCGGAACTCGGCCAAATCCATGTCTTCCGGGGTTTTGACGACATGGTCCATCTCGAAGAGTGTCACCACATTCAATTCGCTGCCCGCCGACAGAGGGTAGAGCAGGATATATCCGTTGGGTCCGATCCAGGCATCCATCGTGTTCCTCAGCAGCTGTCGTGCTTCCGGAACCTGCTCAAAGACTTGTTCGTAGGACAGAATGCCCCGAAACGCCGCCACCGTCGAGGCCGCTTGGGGTACGGCTGCATCGGGGAATAGAACTCGACGAATCGTCGACTTGATGCCGTCGGAGCCGATGAGCAGGTCAAAGGTGTGCTGGACCCCCTGGACCGTGGTGACCTTGACAGAGTCCTTCGAGTGCTCGAGACTCTGCACGCGCGACCCTACGATCAGCTCGACCCCGTGGCGGCGGGCGCATTCCGTGAGCCCGGCGTGGAGGTGATCTCTGCGCACGACCCTAGTATAGATGGCCATGTATCAGTTTCTGATCTGTCCCCTCGGCGGGAAGAAAGGTTTGTTTGCATCTCGGGTTCAGTTGAATCAAACTCACCAATGTGGAAATCCCGTCTGCTTAGCCCCCATTTTGGGATCGAACCGCGCCAACAGCTCACTGTCGGAACCCCATGTATTGATCTCGTCGACGGCAATGAGGTCGTCTCCGATGAGCTCGTCGACGCCCCAACGGACCAAGAGCCGCGACACGTTCGCAAACATCTGGATCCCAGCGCCGATCTCGCCCAATTCCTTGGCCGCCTCGAGCAGGGTGACCTTCGCCCCGGCCCTGGCAATCGCAATTGCGGCCGCTAGCCCACCCATCCCGCCTCCGCAGATGCCTACGTGCAGTTTGTTCGGTGCCATTCTATCCAGGTTGGAGCGGGTGCTTCGGAAGGGATTGATGGGGGTGAGCAAGATGTTGGAAACTCGTCGGTCAAGTTGTTGGGCAGAGACAAACACTTCCGAGGCAGGACTTTCTTGAAATGATCCTCAAGGCTATGGTCAGCGTATCTGGCTCTGTACGTTATGGACAGGCTCCTTGTCCGCGGGCAGAAAAGTCGAGAGCTTGCAGATAGACAGGTACGAGAGGATGATATCTGGTTTCTGAGATCCAGAAATCAAGAGAGATATTCCAGCCGGTGGCCAATTCGTGTTTTATATACCATCACCCGACATGAAAGTAGTCGGTCGTGCTTTTGTGCTTGGAATCCTGTTGTTTGGTTAGAATCCGGGTTCATGTCAACTCTCTAACCTCTTTCGCCTCAGTCTGCAGGGTTACTTCAGGCCATAGGCGCCCTGGGCGGCCCAGGATGTTGGAGATGCATAAAACCGAGGCAGCACCGGCAATGCGGGTCGAATAGTAGGCCGTCATCCGGGGGTGGGGGAATATTGAAGCTTCTGCCGAGGAGCATGGGGGCGTAAGGGTGAAAAGGTGATGCTCTACGGGCCAGTACTCGGTTCTCTGTAGAGTTGGCAGCCACTAGCTCTCTGGCTAGACCCTAAGAGAGGGTTAAGGGAGGTTTGATACATAAATAACTAGATTACTCGTAGTCGCTTCTGGAACCCCAGATCAATGGTCGACATGCCGAAGACTTCGGGGAGCGTTTACTGAAAGCCCTTGATCATGCCCTCGGCGCCAAACAGGATATCCAAGTCGCCGGACAGACCGGGTGAGAAAAGGTCGGCCCAAGGACCGAGACAGTCCAATTCTAGGGAGATGGGGTCGACATCATTGCTGGGAAAAGGGCTGATAGCTCCGTCTATGCCTGTGCAGCTTCCCATCACACGCGCAGTGTCGAAGGACCCGGCAGCGGGGGCGTGGGTGGCAACGGATGCTGGTGGCGCAGGGGGTCTGTTGTGGCTGGGAGCCACCTTTTCAAACGCGGCCGTGTAGTAGGCGAAGACGAAGCGGGCCGCCAAGTACTTCTCCTGGAGCTCGTGTAGGACCAGCATGGCGAGATCGAGATTCTGGCTGGCGAGATGCCATTTCATGCCGCTGCCCAGGCACTTGGACAGGAAGAGGATGGCGAGGATGGATATGAGCATGGTCACGCTATCAGACCGAGTTAGTCAGTGTCTTGCTCGAGGATTGATGCCCGAATCAGCCGACAACGTCTTTACCTTTCGGGAGGAAGAACCCGGATGAGCTCCAGCTCACTCAACTTCCGAAAACTGGCCGTGGCCGCCGAGGCCGAGAGCAAGGAGCTTTCCCAGGCGACTTGGGCACGGCGGTCGCTCCCGGGGCTGGTGGGCAAGAGGCCGCCCTGGAAGATGAACGGCTTGTACAATGTGATGATGATGACACTTTAGGGAGACTGTCAGCTTCGGCCGTATAGCCAGGGCAATACTGACTGGTAGAAAGTGTGGATATAGTGCTTGTGCAAGGCTGTGGCGGCCGACTCGTCGGAGCCCGGAGGAGGCGCATCAAGCCGGCAGCGCGGATCCAGGTTCAGGAGCCACGTTTTGAGTCGCTCGTCAAGCCGTTCAACGGTCTCCCAGGGCGTTGGTTCGGGCTGTGGTGGTCGGTACACCGATGACAGCACATCCCCCAGGAGCCGGCTCAGTTTGACAATCTCCAGGAACATGGGAGCGTGCCCATTGCATTGGTCCACAATGGCCACACTCTCGGGCGTGAGGGTGCAGGAAATGTGGCCTGAGACCAAGTCGTTGATGGACAGCTCTTTAACGTCGCAGTGGTCAGCGTTGATGCGGTGCGTCCGTCCCATGCCCAAGGCAATGCACCGATCGCGGTAGAAACAGCACCACCAGATGCGTCGCCAAAGACGGCGTTGCGAGGAAGGCACATTGGAAGACCCGGGATCGCGATGTAGGCCGACGCTTTGGCTCAGGCTGATGGCCACGCCGACCCAGTGCCAACTGTCGGTACGATCATGCGCGTGGCCCAGCCAATATCCCATCAGTAGCACGCATTGGATCAAACAGATCTTGTCCGTCTCGTACTCGAAGTCGTACAGGGCCTGTGTGGAGATGAAAACAAGATGAGCATGGGACAAACCAGGAACAGAGACCCCACCTTTGCGCGTTCGTAGAACCTCCTCTTCAAGGCCAGACGAGAAGGAAGAGCCGTGCGTCTCAACCCGGCGACGGAAATGTACTGTGGGAAGAGTGATCAGAACCAGACCGACGGGAGGAGAGTGGCTTACGTTGCTCGCTGCGAGGAACACGGTCTGTAGAAGAAGCGGGCTGACACTCGAGGCACCGCCTGCATCGTAGCGGCGATAGAAGTCCACGGGGTCGACGATCGGAAGTATGGGATATACGTAGTCGAAGAACAAGGCAAGAAGTTCACTGAGCACCTCGTCGGATTCCAGAGAGAAGGCTCCCTTGGCCTCGAGGCAGGCGAATTCTTCGGGCGACAACTGACGCCTCTTGGGTTGGGGAAGTAGAAAATGGGTCTTTGAGGCGATGCTCTTGCTCTTGTCATTGGCGACGTGGAAAATAAGACGAAGGGATTGCAATTCTCCTGGGCGACGCCTCGTTATACCCGCCGTCTTCTGGGGAGGTATCGAACATACCAACATACATTGGAACCCGGACTTGGTCCGTTTCCGGCGGTTCCACGATGGCCCGGTAGGTGTCGACATTGGACGGCGACTCGTACTCGTTTTGGGAGAGAACCTCCGAGGCCGGGGTGGTCGATTCCAAGGAACGGGATGGACCGGGATTCACCACCGTTGGTCCTGGTCCTGGGGAGGAGACCCCGGGAGACGGGACGGACTCTTCCTCGTGGTGGTTGGCCTTCCGGCGTTTGTATTTGCCCCTTGACGAGGCGTGGAGGACACAGGCGGCATCATCTTGCTGGCAGTTGGTGCAGGGTTGACCAACCAGGACCACATTGCAACGCACTTTGCGAGCATGGCACGACGAACAGGCGATAGCCGCCCGGCGTTTCTTCATGGGCAAAGGTCGGATCTCGTTGGAGGTAGACATGGTGGTCTCATCGGCCCTCAAGAGAATCTGGGGAAGATGAAGATTTGGCCAGGAAAGTAGCTGCCATTGAGACGCTTGATTCCGTGGGTTCGGAGGAAAGGAGAAGGAGGGAGGGCATAGGTGCTCGGTTATATGGTTGTAGCCGAGGATATTTGAGGCTGCAAAGGAAGGAGAATGCTGGTGCGGGGGAGTCCACGATTAGAAGGCGCCGGAGTCTTGTTTGGTTCAGCATGTAGACTCTATCTCATCGAGATTACCCAAGTATTAAGCGTGAACGCGTAGATGTATCAGTGAAGCGCGAGGAAGAACTTGCGGGGCTTCGAGGTAGTCGAATGTCTGTTTATAACGGTACTTGCTTGTGGAATAACAAGCCGGTACCAATTAGTGACGCATTTCTCTACTCATAACTAAATAGCCTCATGATGGCGCGCTGACAACTCACCGTTGGATTCGATCAAGTCATTGGCAAACTCGTCCTCGACACAATGCCTCGAGGAGATTGAGTTTCCGAATGGTTGGAAACACGTACGAGAGCTAATCACGTGAATAGTTCCGAGTGTGGTTTGTAGCGGCGGAAGAGATTGATTAACGAGCTAGCTGATCTAAGAAGGGAAAACTGGCCGCTATATGTAGTCACTCGTAAATGTGTCACGTGAAGTACGGAGTACTTTTTGAACTGCGCATCACAGGTCTTTCGACCATGAATTGCTACTGCAAGCCGGAGCCAATCGTCCAACATTGACGAAGGGAGGGTTGGAGGTGATGAGGGTATGCTTTGTTCTCCTGCAGTTCCGGAGGCTGATTGGCACCCGACGCTTCACAACTTCAACCAACCGGCTAGCTTCGTCTCAAGAGTCGGCTCGCCTCGATTTTCGAGCAATTGATGCGAAATGGCAGAGGAGATGGGCGGATCAGTCCCCTGCGCGGAAGCAGCCCAAGACTTCTCGGAACTCCTATATTTTGCCCATGTTCGCCTACCCATCTGGCTCATTGCACATGGGCCATCTTCGCGTCTACACGATCTCCGATGTCATCGCACGTTATCGGCGGATGCGAGGTGATCAAGTTTTGCACCCTACAGGCTGGGATGCGTTTGGATTGCCGGCGGAGAATGCTGCCATCGAGCGTGGAATCGATCCTGCTGTTTGGACTGAAGAAAATATTGCAAAAATGAAACATCAGCTCAAAAGCATGAACACAAGTTTTGATTGGGATGCTGTAGGTCAAGAGTTCGGGATGGATGTACATAGTGCTGATCGTTTGTCCGTAGGAAATATCCACTTGCTCTCCGTCGTTCTACAAGCATACTCAAAGCATCTTTTTGAAGCTGTTCAGCCGTGGGTTGGCGTATCAAGCTGAAGCCCTGGTAAATTATGATCCCGTGGACAAAACTGTCCTAGCAAACGAACAGGTACATACCTCGGTCAGCGTCGCAGACCTATACTGACGCTGATTAGGTCGATAACAATGGACTCTCCTGGAGATCTGGAGCTCTGGTACAGCAGATCAAACTTCGCCAGTGGTTCTTCCGCATTACCGCATTCAAAGAGGCGCTTTTACGCGATCTCGACTACCTCTCTGAAGGCAATAAATGGCCTGACAGAGTGATCTCCCAACAAAGAAATTGGCTCGGTCGCTCTACTGGAGCTCGCATTCAATTTAGCCTGAAGGATGAAGCTGGAATGGCAACCCCAGTTCATGTCTTCACGACTCGCCCCGATACGTTGTTCGGGGTCAAATACATCGCACTGTCAATGAGTCATCCTTTAGTACAACAGCTGGCTGCGAAGAATCCCGAACTGCTACGTTTCCTGGACAGGCGAGCCTCCTTTACTTCAGACACAAAAGAAGGCTTTGAGTTGCCGTTACTAGCGGTTAACCCCTTGTCGCAGACACTGGGCCTCAAGGAAGAATCACTGCCCGTGTTTACTGCACCCTATGTCTTGGAAGACTATGGCGAAGGCGCTGTTATGGGTGTCCCTGCTCATGACTCCCGAGATCTCGGCTTCTGGAAACTTCACAGGCCTTCAGATCCCGTCACAATGGTGATAGCGCCTGAAAAGCGTGACATGGAGGCAATCCATGTCCTTCCCAATCATTTACCGGAAGCGTACACCAACCATGGTGTTTTGACTTCTGCCTGTGGACCCTACGCTGGAATGGACAGCGGCGACGCGCGCCTGAAGATCGTCGAGGACCTACAAAAGCATGGCCTCGGAGGACCTTTCGAGACGTGGAGACTACGAGACTGGTTGGTGAGCCGACAAAGGTATTGGGGTACACCTATCCCGATCATTCATTGCTCTACTTGTGGGGCTGTCCCCGTACCAGAGAAAGATCTCCCCGTAGTGTTACCGCAACTGGATTCATCCATCAAAGGCCGAATGGGCAATCCCCTCGACAAGGCCGAGGACTGGGTAACTTGCAATTGTCCGAAGTGCCAGGGACCGGCCAGACGAGAAACAGATACCATGGACACTTTTGTCGACTCTTCATGGTACTTCACGCGGTTTCCCGACTCGCAAAACGAGACCGAGCTCTTCTCGCAAGACTCAGCCGCGAGCATGCTACCAGTCGACACGTATGTCGGTGGGGTCGAGCATGCCATTCTACACTTGCTCTATGCACGGTTCATTTACAAATTCCTTTGTACCGAGGGTTTGGTCCCTGGCGAGCAAGGCCAGCAGGAACCTTTCCAACGGCTCGTGGCTCAGGGTATGGTCCATGGAAAGACATTCTCTGACCCCGATACAGGACGCTTTTTGTTGCCTGGTGAGCTTGACGTTAATGGTGAGAACATGGTCATCAGGTTAACGGGCAAGTCGCCAAATGTGACGTTCGAAAAGATGTCCAAGAGCAAGCACAACGGTGTAGATCCGTCGGTGGCTATAGAAAAGTTTGGTGCTGACGCTCTGCGAGCTCATATCTTGTTCGCGGCTCCAGTCAGTGAAGTCTTACAATGGGACGAAGAGAAGATCGTTGGTATCCAGAGATGGTTTGGCCGTGTCAATCGACTTGTTGCAGACCTTGTCGAGCAAGGCCTCCAGGGCAGAGTGGATTTATCCTCGCTCGACGTGGACAAGCTGACCGACAATGATGCAAGTGTCCTACTGCTGACACAGGACACAAGCAAAAACATATCTCATACCTTCTCAAACGACATTTATGGCCTCAACACGGCGATCTCGGATCTCATCAAGTTAACAAATGGAGTGCACAACGTTGGCATCAAGAACTTGACGAAACGAGTCGCACATCAAGCAGTCTCAGCATTGCTGAAAATGATGGCGCCCATCACACCAGCTTTCGCGGAGGAGTGCTGGGAAGCTTTGACGGAAAATGGAAAAATAGAAAGCATATTCAACTCCCCGTGGACAGGCGACATCATAAGTCCGGAGCAAGAGTCTGCTCTGAAAGCACGCCAGAGATGCATTGTCTGTGCCGTTCAGGTCAACGGGAAGCTCCGTTTCACTGCCAAAGTTCCTTCTGCAAAGTCAAGAGAGACGGCAGGCTCGGACAGGGCAGCAAGAGATGCAGAAATCCTCGAAGCAGTCCTCTCTACCGAAGACGGGCGTATATGGTTAACGCAAAAGAACGACTGGGAGAAGAGGAAAAGAGTGGTTGTCGTTGGCGATGGCAAAGTGCTTAATGTCGTCTTCTGACGCGCTCGCTCTCACCTTGTGTACGAATAGAAGCAGCATTCCTTTGTGATAGCTGTTTTGCCAAGGACTGGCCGTAGATGTGTAACATTTTTTCCCCGACAAACGCTCTAACCATTGAGATGACCCGAGCCAGGAGTGTCTGTACGTCTAGGTCGCAGTCGGGCGTTGCAATACGAGGTGATGTGACTCGCATGGTCAGTACAGAACGCCTTACTATGGCAGATGAAGTCGTGTAATCGGTCACACACAGAGGAGCAGCTCTTGGCCATCTCTCCGTGGCTCTCCTCAGCCTCGTCAGCCTGGCCTCGAGACTCAGCCTTGTTCCCGCAGCCTCGTTCTCGAGTGCCGAAGTTTATCCTGTGACTCCGAAAATGTCTACCTCCCATTGAACTCGTCGCTTCATGTTCATCACTCGATCCAGAACTCGGTCAGTGGCGCATCATGAAGTTGATGCTCACGCCGTCTGGCCCCTTCCAATGGGGTCATACGCCTCGAACAAGGTCCAGATACCTACAACGCCGCTTCTTCGCTGCGGTGGCGGATGCAATCAGGTATGTTCACTCTCTCAACTCCATGACACGTTCTGACGCGGTGTAGACCATATGATGTGGTTGTCATCGGCGGAGGCCATGCCGGTACCGAAGCCAGTGCAGCGGCTGCACGATCAGGTGCACGCACAGCGCTCGTCACTCCCTCTCTGTCCAACTTGGGCGTCTGTTCCTGCAATCCAAGTTTTGGCGGCATTGGCAAAGGCACCATGTTGCGCGAGATTGACGCTCTGGACGGCGTCGCAGGCCGCATCGTGGACAAAGCCGGCATACAATTTCGGATGCTCAACAGGAGCAAAGGTCCCGCAGTCTGGGGACCGCGCGCGCAGATTGATCGGGCCCTTTACAAGAGATATATGCGGGAAGAGATGCTGTCAACGCCAAACCTGAGTGTGCTGGAAGGTAAGGTTGCAGATATCAACGTCTCACAGGATGCACTAGACCCCAGCGACACACTCTCGAAGGGACGCATCACTGGCGTACGATTGGAAGATGGCCAAATTATTCCGACATCACATGTGGTCATTACGACCGGCACTTTCCTAGGTGGAGAAATACATATTGGTCTTGAGGCATATCCTTCTGGCAGAATGGGCGAGGCTGCTACCTTTGGTCTGAGCAACTCCCTTCGAAGCGCTGGCTTCACATTGGGACGGCTCAAAACAGGGACCCCGCCACGGCTGGACCGAGATACGATTGACTTCGGTATGCTTGAGGTGCAGCCGGGCGACTCGCCACCAGCTCCCTTTTCATACTTTAACGATACTGTTGAAATTGGAGACGAAGGCCAGTTGGCTTGCTGGACGACCTACACAAACGACGCTGCCCATGCCATCATCCGTGCCAACCTCGACAAATCTATACACATTCGAGAAACGGTCAAGGGGCCTCGGTATTGTCCCTCGCTAGAGTCGAAGATCATCAAATTCGGACATAAACCAAGACATATGATCTGGCTGGAGCCTGAAGGTCTCGAGCCTAACAAGGTCATCTATCCCAACGGGATCAGCATGACAGTCCCAGCTGATGCGCAATATGCGATGCTGAAGACAATCCAAGGCTTGGAAAATGTCAAAATGCTTCAACCAGGGTACGGTGTAGAGTATGACTACATTGACCCGAGAAATCTCTTCCCCACTCTCGAGACCAAGTTAATCAAGGGCTTGTTTCTTGCTGGTCAAATCAATGGTACCACTGGATACGAGGAAGCAGCGTCACAGGGTATCATCGCCGGCATCAATGCCGGTCGCTCTTCACAGGGCGAAGGGCCTTTCACACTATCGCGCTCGGAGGCATTCATTGGCATATTGATTGACGACCTGATCACCAAAGGAGTCAGCGAGCCATATCGGATGTTTACAACCAGGAGCGAGTATCGGATGAGTTGCCGCTCGGATAATGCAGATCTCCGTCTTACAGAAAAGGGCCGCGAAGCAGGTGTGGTCAGCGACAAGCGCTGGGAGCACTTCACCAGCTTCCGGGACCAGATGGCCGAGCTACACAAAGGCCTGGAAGAAGCGCACTTCTCGGCTCAAGAGTTGCAAAGATTTGGAATTCGATCACGCACCGACTCGAGCAAGAAAAGCGCGCTCGATTTGCTTCGCTTGCCAGGAGTCACCATTGATATGCTCTCGAGCCGCATCCAAAGTCTACCCGCAGCCTCGAACTACGCAGATACAGTAAAGACGCGTGTGCAGATTGAGAGCATATATGCGCCATATATCGGCTTCCAACAACGGGCAGCACAGGCTTTTGAACGTGACGAGTCATTAGCGCTACCTTTGGATATCGACTATGATAAGGTGGACGGGCTGAGCATTGGTGAGCGAGAGGTTCTCAAGCTCGTGAGACCGTCGAGCATCGGCATGGCGCGGCGAGTCGAAGGCGTCACTCCTGTAGGGGCGCTGCGGCTACTGAAGCATGCGAGACGATCGGGAGGAGCCACCGCTCATGCTTTGACTGCTTCCGCATTGCCGAGCGACGAATTGCTCCAGGTCGAGAGGACGGAAGCGGAAGGCGCAATTGGCGCTTAACATCTGGTCGCGTGAGCAATGTAAAAACTGGTGTCGGGTGAAGAACTTGATTTACACGGGCATAGCGAACGGAGTTTGATGGTCTCGAACTGATTTCCATTCAATCATGGCATTGGAATGTCCAGATATATCTCATACTAAGCGATAACCGAAAGAGCAGGACTAGCACAAAGATCTGACTGGACCATTGAGGCCTCCTGGGCGGAGTTCTGCGTGAACATGATCTCTAAGGTTGCATGCGGAGCATGTAGAAGAGGTGATGTCGAGTACAAAACTAATGCTATCGAGTCCGAGAATCAGTATAGCCAATGAGGTGCAACATCGTCCCCTGATAATGAGCCTGGGAGAGCCTGGGCTATGGGTCGTGATGGGTCCCTTGACTGACGACTTTACGTATGGGCGGCCCCGACAGCGCGGCAAAGCTTGATCGGCATCGATAGCGAGGTGATGTTCTCGTGGCAGAAGCAGCACCAACAGCAGCAAGAAAGCACTTGATGATGCGAAAGAAAAATTCATGGGAAACCGCTATCTCTGGGTCGGTCGGCTCCGGGCCAATCGAAGGCCTACAATATATCTTTTAGTGGCAGTCACCCGCTGCCAGCGGGCTTGATGGGGCATGATTGGGCCTATCCCCGGGCTATGACTGGGCTATCCATATAGAAGCGGGCCTGCGGCGGGCAATAGGGGAGCCGGCCGACGAACCAGGCGATGACCGATTCGAGGCTCTACTGATGCTTTCACTCCGCCGCATCCCTCCACAGCTCGCATCTCGGCCCACGCTCATCTTGATCTGCAAACAACGAGTTTGGCCGCTGCGTTGAGCGGAGTCGGCCACGAGCCGATGGATTCGTGTTTTCTAATCTCGAGGTGGATGGTATAAGACCTGCGTGTTTACCTGGACTTGTCAATTGTTCGTCAGGCATATATCCGCAACACATTTCAGACCATCCTACCATCCTACCATCTTCCTTCCCCTGGATCAATTCGTATCACTGCAACATGGGTGAAGCAGACAGAATTGGGCCAGACATGCGCCCCAAACAGACATTGGCCGACCACGTCAATCGTGTGCGAAAGACATTCTTCACTAAACAAGGCCTTGTCGGCAGCTACGACTATGCATTCCTCTTCCGACCGAACATCCCATTCCTCAAGAAACCTCGCCGGGCTTCTCCTTTCTTCGGCCTCAATGACACCATGCCCGTCGTTCTGGCAATGCTGCTAGGCTTCCAGCATGCCTTGGCCATGCTGGCCGGTATCATCACCCCTCCACTCATTATGGCCGGTCAAGGCGGCGTCAACCTGGACAGCAGCTGGCAACAATATCTGGTCTCGACATCCTTGATCGTCTGCGGCATCCTCTCCGCCATCCAAATCACTCGTTTCCACATCTGGAAGACCCCGTACTATATTGGAACAGGCCTGATCTCAGTTGTGGGCACTTCCTTCGCCATCATCCCAGTCGCCACCGGCGCTTTCTCACAGATGTACTCGAACGGCTTCTGTCCTGTCGGGGCGGATGGAACAAAATTACCGTGTCCAGACGCTTATGGCGCTCTGATCGGCACGTGCGCTGTCTGTGCCTTGACTGAAATCGCGCTCTCATTCCTGCCACCTAAAATCCTCAAGAAGATTTTCCCTCCCATTGTCACTGGTCCGACGGTCATGCTGATTGGTGTCTCTCTGATTGAAACTGGCTTCAGCGATTGGGCTGGCGGTAGTGGCTCGTGCTCGGCCCGACCGCAAGATGGCTTCTTCAGGCTTTGCCCGGACATTGCTGCTCCTCACGCCCTGCCCTGGGGAAGCGCCGAGTTCATCGGTCTCGGATTTCTTGTCTTTGTCACCATCATCCTCTGCGAACGGTTCGGATCGCCCATCATGAAGTCCACCAGCGTCATTCTGGGTCTCTTGACCGGCTGCATCGTCGCCGCTGCGTGCGGATACTTTGACCGCTCGGGCATCGACTCCGCGCCCGCTGCGAGTTTCATTTGGGTCAAGACGTTCAAGCTCACTGTGTACGGACCACTGGTGCTGCCCATCATGACGGTCTTCATCATCTGCGCATGCGAGGCGATTGGTGACGTGACTGCCACCTGCGATGTTTCAAGACTGGATGTCGAGGGTCGAGAATTCGAGTCGAGGATTCAAGGTGGTGTGCTGGCCGATGGGCTCAACGGTTGTCTGGCGGCCCTGATGACCATCACGCCCATGTCGACGTTCGCACAGAATAACGGCGTGATTGCGTTGACGAGGTGTGCGAATAGAAGGGCCGGGTATTGCGCTTGCTGTAAGTCTATCCACAACAAACAACGATTGTGACGTGAGTGGGATCTGATGACTGACGAATCGCTAGTTTTCCTGATCATCATGGGTCTCTTTGCGAAATTCTCCGCCGCCCTGGTGGCCATCCCATCGCCCGTTCTTGGAGGCATGACGACGTTCCTGTTCTGCGCCGTCGCGGTCAGCGGTATGGCGATTGTCAGTCGCGTGCCGTTCAATCGACGGACGAGGTTCGTCTTGACGGCGAGTCTGGCTGTCGGGTACGGTGCGACGTTGGTGCCGACCTGGTTCAGCTATGTGTTCACGTATGAAGGGAACAACCACGCCTTGAGGGGCTTCTATGACGCGATCGTTTTGGTCATGGAGACCGGCTTCGCGGTCACAGCCTTTGTGAGCATGATTTTGAACTTGGTCCTGCCGGAGGAGATCGAGGACACGCCGCAGGAGGTCGCGGAGGATGAGGCCGCGACGCAGGGCAAGCCTTCTGTCGCGTCGAGCTCAATGGACCATGATGAGATCACCAAGGCTGAGATGCCTTCCAAAGAGGCTGTATAGATCAAACTGAGGAGGACGTGACGAGACGAACGTAGACGATCGATACCCACGGTGCATTAATGGGAAAAGTGAATATTACTAGCATATCTGTACAGAGCGACCCTTTCAATCGAGCTCTTCCTGTAACTTCCTTCAGACTTACTGCCAGAGGATAATGGATGAGGTCGACGCTGGACAGCTCGAGGAACTCTGTTGGCAATGGCTGACCTGTAGCTTCATCCTGCACACATCGTAGCCAAGACACTTATTCTGCACACTACGCACTCGCCTCTGCTCGCAGTCCAATCATCAAATTGTTCGCTGACAGAGTAAGGCTGTACTTGGATGCAAGGGCTGCAAATGGTTGTAGAAGATCGCGGGGATGTACATGGTAATAGTGGTGGCCCTTCAAGAGGCCAGACGTCCGTCGCAAAAGAGGTAAGAGGTAAATTATGTCGTATTGTCATTTCAATGTCATTGAACAGCTTGAAGCTTTGAACTTGACATCCATCCTTTCGCATCCTTCGCCTCCTCCATCTCATGGAGCGGACTGCAGCCGTATATCACATCTATTTAGCGAGAAGTGACTCTTTGCTCGATGCGGGTCTCAGCCGAATGTGTTCTGGGTGCTCCGGAGGTGAGTGATGGTGTCATGATGCTTGCCGTAGTGAAGCTCTCTCTGCCTCACCTACAAAACTCGGGCCACTGTACACTTTCGTTGCAGCCTTTCTCACTCTTCGTTGAAGAAATATCATTGACTGTTTGCATACCTTGACGGACACTGATCTTTCGCTTAATCAGTTGTCTGCTGCCCCTTCGCTCCTCGTCTACCATCGTTGAGTCTTAGTTTGATATTGAGGTTAGCATTATCAGGTAACTGACACTCATCCTCCACCATGCAACGCACGCTCGCTCTCGCGGCTCTGGCCGCCGTGGCCTTTGCCTCACCCATGCCTCAAGCTGTCACATCTGCCATCTCGCCCGAGTCTTCTGCTCCCGCAGGATGCCAGACATCGTGGCCCGGCACCTTCGAAATCACTGTTGTCAATGTCACCTCCTCCTCCAAGAGAGATCTTGAGAAAGTAAGTCATCTCTCCCACCGCCACTAGCAGCTGTACTAACAAGGTCAGCGACAACAAGATGGTATCCTTACGCTGACCCTCACTGATGGCCTCCTCAAAGACCAGGCTGGTCGCACCGGTTACGTTGCTGCCAACTTCCAATTCCAGTTCGACAGCCCACCTCAAGCTGGTGCTTTATACACCTCTGGCTTCTCCGTCTGCTCAAACTACAGTCTTGCGTTGGGAGGATCGGCAATATGGTATCAGTGTCTGAGTGGCAACTTCTACAACCTGTACAGTAAGAATTGGGCCAACACCTGCAACCCCATCTACATCTATGCCATGTCCGCCTCGACACCTTCATCCTCAGCTCCCGCTGCCAGCCAAGCCAGTGACGGCCAGCCTCAGGCTACAACTGCTGCACCTGTCTCTCAAGTCTCTGATGGTCAACCTCAAGCAAGCACCGGCGGCGTTCCTGTCACTCAGATCTCAGACGGTCAACCACAGGCCACCACTGGAGCTCCCGTTTCTCAAATCTCAGATGGTCAACCCCAGGCCCCTACCGGTGCTCCGGTCACCCAGATCTCGGATGGTCAACCACAGGCAGCAACTAAGGGTGCCCCAGTTACCCAGATCTCAGATGGTCAACCACAAGCAACTAAGGGTGCCCCAGTTACCCAGATCTCAGATGGTCAACCACA